AAAAATCTTTCTTCATGAAATTGGGACCCTTTAAGCACAGCTAGTTTCTCTTTCTTGGTTGTGTCCTATGGCATTAATGGTTCTTTAAAATACTGTCATGAAAAGCTGGACAACCTCCTGGGGGACCTATTCCTGCCTGCTGACTGCAGCAGGCCTCACAATCTCGCTCCTGTCCTTTCTACTCCCCCCAATAGGATCCCCAGACTTTGACTGCCAATCAGTGCCACATGACTTCCAAGAGATCCCTGGGGCTTCCATGTCCCTCATATGAAAGATTCTCTGCAAAAGTTTATGGTTCTCAAAGTTTGCTTTTGACTTTGAAAATATAATTTTTCTATTGCCTTCTTAGGCCACCCAGAAGGGCAGGAAGGCTGGGCAGCACTTCCTGGTGGTTCCAGGCCCAGGGTGTTAAGCCAGGCCAATCTGCTTTGAACCCCAGCGTCATCTCTTACTAGCTGTATGACCCTGGATGATCCAGCTGGTCTAGCTCAGGTATCAGGTGGGTGGTGTGGGCAGTTGGGGTGTGGCGGCTACACTGTGCTGGGCCTCCTGCCTGGCGGAGGGCAAGAGCTGACCAATCAGATGACACTCTGGGTGTCACTGCTGCTGTTATTGGGAACATGTGCCGCGCATTTGAGGTTCCTCCACCCCTGGCCCTGTGCTCCCATGCTCTAGAAGGAGGTCATAGGAATGGGCCTGCAGCTGTCTCTTGGGGGAGGAAGTTTACAAGGAAGAAGGGAAGGCTGGCCTGGAAGGCTCCCACATGGACTCCAGGAGTCACAGAGGCTTTGGATCCCAGGGGACAGGACAGGAGCCCTGCCTTCGGCTGGCTGGAGTCCTCAGTCCTCCCTGTTACCATGATGGGAAGGGGCCCAGGACACCTTCCTTTCTAACTGCCAAGTCCAGGTCGTAGAAGCACAGGTGGGCAAGGTTTACCAATCTGTCCCAGGATGCTGCTCAGGAAAGAGGACTTTGAGGGGCTGGGTCCTGTATTTACAAGATAACACAGAGCATGCAGCAAAAGAATCCCTGGGCAAACAGAACCCCTGTGCGGGCAACTACCTCATGCCTACAGCAGCACCCTGCGGGCCCTGGCCTCTTCTCACCTCTGTCTGCTCCAGGGGCAGCCTGCCCCCAGGCTGTCCAGTATCCTCTCAGAGGACGACAGCATCAATGGTCAGGGGCAAAGGGCATGGGGTCTGAAGTCAGGAGATGCAGGGTTTCCATCCCTGGGCCTGTGAGCAGGTGAGCAAAACCCTGACCTCCATACCAAGAGGGTGAAAGAGGAAAGTCCCTGCAGGGAGGCTGGCCAGACCAAACAGAGGAGGTGGGCCTCGCACGCCCTCCCTGCCTTCCCTTGATCCTGCGGAATCTAAAGACGAGGTCTGGATCTGCCCGATGGGACTTTGTAAAAATTATGATGGCTCTTTTCTCCTATTACTAATTTTCAAAACCATGGAGTCTTGATTGCTACAATGAAGTGGAGTTAAAAGGCTCGCTCCCTGGAGATCAGCTTTTCTGCTCATCTCATTTCTCATAAGAGGAAACTGAGGCCCAAGATCACACAGAGAAACAGCCGTGGTCTAAAGATCCGTGTTGACATAAGGCAGGTCCCGGTTAGATCTTTTGCCCTGGAAACCTCAGAGTCACGCCCAGAGGCACAGGCAGGGAGAAGGGAGCCCCGGATGTTCAGAGCCAGTGTTAATTAACTCATTTCTCTTTTGTCCTCTTCTTATTGTTCCTGGAAGCAATTATGTCTCTCACCCTCTCCCACCTCCATCCACTCACAGAACTGTGGCAGGTTAAATCAAATCGTTCGCATTTCATTAGGGAGACTGCAGCTCGCACCCTCGGGGGCATTTTCACTCTTGTCAAATAAAAGTCCTTTTTTTTTTTTGATGAGTTAACTCCTTCTTGGGGCTCCCAGAGGCCAGTGAGCAGCCTCTAAGGGGCTGCTAAGAATCGATGGGCTTTTGGTGGCTCTCACAGCCCTTGTCTCACAGAGAGTGAGCGCCAACCAGCCAGCAAGGCAGAAGAGCTGGGTGCCAGCCTCCAAGGGGAAGCCCTAGAAAAGAAGGACCAGGCTCTGAGGACCTGCTCAGCCTCCTCCTCTCCAGACCCCCGGTATGTGTCTGTTCTGGGATGGAACTCAGTTTCCTCATCTGAAAAATGCAAAGTTCCAATTTCTCTCTTTTTTTTAAATTTCATTTCATGTACTAGACTCCAGGAGCAGCCTCAGAACAGCACACCAGTGCTTGAGAAGTGGGGTGGCCATCGGGAAGGGAGTTTCATGGGGAGCACAGACTTTTCTAGGTTAGTTTTCTGGCACAACTGTGACATAATGGACAGGCAGAGATGGGACGTTATGGCTGCCACCTACTGCTCGGAAATGGCTCAGGGGAGGATGGAGTGGGAGGGAGGCTGGCAGGCTGGTGGAAGGGCCTTCCCACTCGGTGTCTGCAGGGCAGGCATGCTGGGGGCAGGGGCAGACACTGTCATTTAGGTGTTTTGACACCTGACACCAAGCATCAGGCACCAAGAGGAGGAAAGCATTATCCAGTGGGACTGTGCTGTGGTGTGGGGACACCTAGGAGAGCAGGGGTGGGCAGGGCTGTCATGCATGTTGTCTCAGAATTCTCTCTGCATGCTGAGGCTCCCTGACACCCGGAGGCCTCAGCAACACCAGAAGGGGAGGCTGAGGGACAGGGGCAGCTGGTGCATTCCCGGAAGCAGTAGGACTGGGACAGGGCGGCAGCAGCCCCACGGAGCACAGCCTGTGTGTGTCCCACGCAGGCTTCGGCAGGCCCGTGTGGGTCAGCCTGTGCATGGGACATACGTGACCTGCATGGGGCTGGGCTGCACAGTGGAGAAGGCCACTCGTGCACTTCCTCCCTGGAAACGTCCAGGCTGGGGCCTCCTTGGTGGGGAGGGCAGGGTCCTGCCTGTCCCCAGGCACTGGCTCCGATGGCCCTTGGGCGGGGGGCGGGGGGAGCCTGGAAGGGGCTGCGGCACTGTGAGGATGTCTTGTGACACATGTGTCTTCAGGAATGAGGAATGCCTTTGACCAGGCTGGTGCTGGGGACAAGGCAGACATGCCCCTTACTCTGGAGTCAGAGTATTGCTGCTGAAATCTGCACACCCTGGAGGAAGCCCTGCCCCTGGCTGAGGGGAGGGGTGAGCCTGAGGAAGGACAGCCTGGCACCTCCAGTCACCAACACCCACGGGTCCATGGCACGTGGGGTTCACACTTCACCTTAGACCCGAGGCCATTTCGGCCTCACCATATTAGTGCGCCTGAGTTTTTGCCCATCTTATAATGACCTTGGGAATATCAGGATGTGCTGGTGTCTGTTGTTCATGTAAACGTTTAGAACATGCACACTTTTACAAAACACTCGTTGGTTTACTTTCTTTGTGAATCTACCAAGAATTCCACTCTCACCACTGACCCTCCCAAATTAGGAAGCAATGCAGACCCTCCCAACCTCATCTCAAAGCCCGGGGCCTGAGAATCTACACAGATGGCTCCACTTTATCACAGCTGGATGTGGTGATTTTGCAGCTTAACAGTGGTGAAAAGCCACACATTCAGGGGAAACTGGGCTTTGAATTTTGAATTTCTGCTTTTTCCCAGGCTAGTAATATTTGGTGTGACCTGTCTCTAGCCTCAGCTCCCCTCCAATCACAAAGGGAAACAACCCAGACCCTACAGTGGGGCAGGTCCAGCTATGATATCCTGTGGGTCATATGTTCAGTGCATTTGGACTTGGAGTGTATTGAGCATATGATGGGTGAGGAGAGGGCCCACGGTCAGTAGAGGAACAACTGTACACATCGGATCTTGGACAGGACATGAGGCTGGGTGGGAGGGGCCTGGATGGCCTTTGGACCCTTGAATTCCCGGAGCTTTGCGAGGAGCAATAGTGTCTGTTGGCCTGGACACTGGCTGGGGACCCTGCCCCATCTCTTTTTCCACATGAGGCAGGAATGGCTGTACCTATGGATGCGGCCTTTTTTTCTAATTCAACATGGATCATTAAAGACAACCAGGAAATGGACAAGAAATGTCAATGACTAGCACGGTTTTCATGCCAGGCCATGTTCTGTGCATGTCACAAGCCTGACCTCAGTTAATTTTGTAATCAAAGCCCAAAGCTATTCTATGATTCTCCAAAACGGGCAGGAAAGGTTAATAACCTACCCAAGGTCTTCCAGCTTGTAAGTGCACCACTAGAATTCCAAGCTGGGTGCGCTGCCGGAGGAGAAGCCACTGTGGAGCAAGCTGGAGATGAAGCATCAGTGGCTCAAACCCTAGGACCCCCTTCACCTGCTGTGTGACATGGGACAAGTCACTTACCCTCTCTAAAACTGTTCCCTTCATTGCAAACTCGGCTTAGGGACGCCAGGACTTTATAGAGATCAAGATTATTGGCAGAACGTTCTTTGGCAGCACATAAAGCAAGAGTGAGATACAGAGTGTGTTAGGAACTTGTCCTTTTGGGTCCTCTGTGAAAGTATATTGGAGAATTCAACAGACAAAAGATGGCAGGGGCAGCAGGGGCCCTCCTCACCCCTTGTGGCTATAAAGTCAGGCAAATCCTAAGTTTTATGTGCCCTGAATTTCTGGGGCGTGGGAGCTGACTCTACGTTTTCCAAGTGTAGGTTCTTTGGGGCCAACTGAAACGCTGTTCAGCTTCTCACAAAAACACTGCCTGTCCCCTTGGCGGGGAGGGTGCAGAGGAATGGAAACTTCTGCCACCAGCAGCATTTGCTATCAACTTCCCTCTCTGTGGTTTTTCTCTGTCATTCCCTTGATAAAAAGAACTTGAGCTGCGCAAATGTAACCAACATTCGCGAATTGCGTCTTCACATAAAAACAGCCGCCTTTCAAAGAGCAGGCTGCGTGAGAAATGGTGCACCATGCAGCCTAAACTGGGTCATTCTCCACGCAGAGGGCTCGGGGCGCAGCTGACTGTCCACGTGTGTCTCTTGTGCTGTAGGCTTCGGGCATCTTCCACCACCCCAGGAGAGAGAGAAATGGGGAACAGCATGAAGTCCAGCCCGGCGCCCCCGGAGAGGCCTCTGCCCAGCACAGATGGTAAGTCCCACTTCTTTGGTGAGATGCTTGACTGTCCTGAGAGAGTCTTGGTCGGCAAGGACTGGGTGACAGAGGAGGCTGGTACTTGTGGAAATGGGGCAATGGTGTCTGGGGTTTGCAACTTATCTCTCTCACTTTGTGGTTCAAATATTTCATAATTAAAAGTTTAAAAGTATTGGGTGCAGGATAAGAGTGCTGTGTTGCTGACATTTTGAGGTGGATCTCTGTGGTCAGTTGGTTCAACCTCTACTTTATAAGTGGGGAAACTGAGGCCCACAAAGGGACTGTGGTTTGTGGCCCCAGCCATTCACAGAGTCGGCGTTCCACCCAGCACCATCTGACTCTGAAAGTCAGCCTCCTGTTGGCCATACCCCAGCCTGATAAAGTGCTGACATCTGCAGAGCTGGCTCTGTGAGGGTTATATCAGTATTATTTTTACTGGGTTGGACACCGACCCTAGGACACCCTCCTGAAATAAAGGAGCCCTGTGCCACTGGCAGGACGGCCGGGCGCCGGCATTCCAGGGGAGACCCACTGCTGCAGGTTAATCAGTGATGGAAAAAATCAGCTTTTTGGATAGATACCAGGTTGGGCCAGACTCCCAGAGCTGCGGAGTGTCCTTTAGCAGCTGTCCAGAGAACAGGAGGGACCCTCTGCAAGCCAAAGGCCAAGGCCCCTGTGTTCTGGGGTCAGCTGTGCTGACCACTTCTAAGACCCTTGCTTTAGTTCTGAGGATTCCTAGTCCTCTCTGAGGGGCTCTCTGTGTGGGTTCCTGAGTCCTCTGGGGGACTGAGAGGGAGACATCAGGAAGGCTAGCCATCTGTCGGTGTCCATAGGGTGGGTCCTGGAGGATCTTGGAACACTTCTGGCTCCCACCTCCATCACAGCCTCTGGGACCTGGTGTCTGTCTCCCAGTGGAGGTGGCCATGCCTGGTTCCTGAACCCACTGTGCCTTGGCACTGAGCAGACTTTAGCGGGCACAGATGGCCCCCTTCTCTGCTGAGCCGACGCTTGACATGACACGGGCTTCTGCCCTCCTCTGGCTACTGCTCATCCTCAGCCCCTGCATCCCCTTAACGAAAAAGTTCTCTCACTTCTGCCAAAATGAAGCCACCCAGATGCCCAATGATGCAACCCGAGGAACCTTAGATGCCTCCAGGGAGAGGAAACCCTGCCTCCCACGCCCTTTCAAGTCGGTGACTCTCCCACTAGCTCTTTGTCTTCTAGCCCTGTCCCCCTCTCCAAGCCAAAAGGGAAAGACTGAATGTTCCCAGGACCAAAGAGATGGTACCATGTGATGAAAGGCAGCAGGGTGTATATTTTGGGGGGCCGTTGAGGAGAAAGTTGTTTACCCCTACCCAGAGTTTGGGGCAGGGGACACAGCCACCACGCCTTCCGGGACTGGCACAGATCTCCTCCTCGTCTTAACCTCTGCTAAAAACTGTGCGCAATGCCTGGGGCCCAGCAGGCTCAGGGCCACCTGCCCCAATACACCAGGTTGTCACCCAGCAGTCAGGCCAAGGGGCGGCATGCTTGAGCAAACCCCACAAAAACACCAGCCTCCTGGACATGCTCATTTGCCTTCACTTTTAAAATGCAAATTATTGTGAAATTAGCTTTTCTTTTTCCACTGTGTGGGTGGGAGGTCACCTCTGCAAGGGGGAAGAGGAGTCTCCCGCCCCCCATACCCTTGATTGAGAGAATTCCCCAGGTCATGCCCAGGTTGAGATCCATGAGACCACATCAAGGACTGGTGGGTGTTCACCCTCACCCCGAAAAGTTTCCCTTATAGCGACCCGAACGTCAGTCCCTCCCTTCTCTCAGCCTACTGGGGCGTGGGGGCAAGGTCTGGTGGCTGGGGCCGCATTCACTAGCTCTGCTGTGTGAAGCCAAGGCCCAGGTTTTTATGGAGGGCTCCCACGGGTGCAGTCAGTCTCACGCTCCCTGAAGGCGGCACCCTCCTTGCTGACTGCTTTGGGCCAGCATGTGATTGCAGTGTCCTCTGACAGGAGCTCTGTGCAGAAGTAAAGTACCACAGTTGCTGCCAGGCCCAGGGACTTCAGGGCCAAGCTGTGGACTGAAACATGTTTCCTGAGTTTGGGGGAGATCATTCTTCCCCCCAGCAAGACCGCAAATGCCTTAGAATAAGGGTTTCACCATCTGTTTTCCACTAAGCTAAGCTTTCCGGAACATTCCTTATTAGTCTAGTCCCAGGGACTGATGTCACAAAACACACAGAGGCAGCACGACCTGATAGAAAATGGCAGGTTTCAGGGGCAAAGGCCACATGCAGCCTCTGGTAATGTCCCCTGGAAGCTGTGTGATCTTCGGGAAGTCACTCAGCCACCCCCAGGGACTCAGCTGTGAAATGGAAGCTGCAACCTTCCCTCCCTCACCACAGTCTCAGAGCACAAAGAGCGCCATGTCAGATGAGGGATGAAGACTACTGAAAGCACACTTGGGATCCTCTGGCTGCACCAGGTTGTGTCCAAACAGCCAACCCTGAAGTGTTACAGCCGTAGAACTAGTGCCTCCAGAGCTTGTTTCCAAATCATCCTGCAAAGTGAACCATCCCTGGGACTCTGCACAGCTCAGACACTGACGCACAGAATTGAATGCAACCCAGGAAACTCCCAGGTTTGCAGGAACAGCAAGTTTCCATCTCATAGTGACAGTTCCGTCACTCGGTACAACCAGTTCTGTTCTTTGTCTCTTCCCTGCTTATCACCCTGTCTGCAACCACATTTTACGCAGAGGTGGCCAGGTGACCCAATGCTATGCCAGGGTGGAACCCATATACCAGGTGGTGCATTTACGTGGCTGCCTGGATAAAAGGTGTGGGGTGGGCGGGGGAGGGAGGAGAGAGAAACCTCAAGACCCAGCCTGGCACTTCTCAGTGGGGCCCTCAGACTACCTGCATTAGGAACTCCTGGGAAGAAGTTATGGGCAGATCCTGGCTCCACCCCAGACCTACTTATCAGACTCATGGTGATAGGCAGTAGCCGTGAGCTGAATTATTTCTGGTTCCCTGGCAAATCTCAGGACCCCTAAAACTGGTGGACCTCAGAGCAGCTTTTAGTCCTGCCTCCACCATCACACAGCAAGAGGTGAGGAGTGAGCTTCTCATCACAGTGACTCTAGGTCCTCACTATAAAACAGGAATCGTCACAGAATGGCACGTGCTTGCCCTATGCCACACACAGGCCTAAGCTCTCTGTGCACGTGAACTACACATTACATACACAGTTACATACTACAGCGGAATGTGAATTTACATATGGGAACTCTAAGTTCTCATAATAGCCCCACTGCAACATCAAGAGCATCCTCTCCAACTTGCAGTTGAAGAAACTGAGGCACAAGAAGGTTAAGTGACTCACCTGAGTCACTCCAGTTCAGAAAGGGAGGCAGAATTGCAAAGCAGGGACCCTGAATCCAGCGCTTCTCTTTACCACCACATCACATTCTGGGGGGACCAGCTTTAAGGAGGCCTGTGAGCTGAGAGAGGCTGGGCAATCTAGAGCTGGGGGAATATGCCTGGTCACCAGATTTAATAACAGAGACCCTCACATGCCTTTTTGAGGGATCCTGTGGATGAGGCACCTGCATCAGATCTCAAAGTAGATTTCGCTTTCCTATTTGGATCTCATGCACCTGCTGGACCATGACATAGTTTAGGTAAAATGTGATCATTCAAATTTTATATCACTATACATTTAGTGAATATCATAAAAACATAGCTAACTCATCAAATCCATGATTCCACATTGCTTAGAACAGGACTACCGTTGTTTTAAGTGAATTAATATTAAGAAAAATGTCATTAGGTCCCTAGTAGTAGAAGTGGCACTTGACCATGACAAAGGAAAGCCCAGTGGCCAGAGCACAGCCCTGGTGCTCCACCATGAGCTGACCTGAGTTTGACACTTGGCACAACTACAAGTCCAGTGTTCTTGGGCCAGTCTCTGGACCACTCCACCTGTCTTTCCTGACATCCGCCATGAGACAGCTACAGTCTGTCAGCACCACAGGGCCGGGGAGGACTGGATGGGAAACACATCACAGCACCAGCCCAGTGTGGCTCGCTCCAGAATTGTACCACCTGGTCCCGCTGCTGGGCCCCGGGATGGAAATGAGAAAGAGCAAGGAGGGCTGAAAGCCACTGACACGTGGGGAGCTCTGAGTTCTCACAAGGAACACATTCTGGGGCCTTGGATCCCAAAGACAATTCCATCCTTATGTTCTGGCCAGCTCCCTCTGAGTCCTAAGAGAATGGGAACTGACCCCTGGTGGCTTTTAGTCTGACTGCTTCTACTCTGTCCACTTCCACATGGAGAAACCAAGGTTTGGGTAAAAAGAGAACCCTAGAGGAACTCAGCCTGTAGTTCTTAGTGACCCGCAACCTACAGACCTTCCGCCAGGCTAGGCTCTGCTGAGCGCTATATGATTGGTTCTTGCATGTGTGTGATTTCCTGAAAAAGTTACTGAAAGTCAGACCTGCTGTGATACGGCAGGAGTCCCCGAGTTTGGGCATGACTCAAGGGAGTGTAAAACGAGAAGCTGAAATCACTGGGCCATTCAGCTCCCAGCCTACCAGCGGCTCTTGCAGTTTGTGCCAGCCCCAAGGACTTATTTGGAGTGGCCATCATCCTGATATTTTCAGGAAATTGGAAGACCCTGGATATTAGGTGCCCAGGAGTGCCATGTAGCTTCATGGGGTGACCACGGGCTTGGGAATCCTCTTGCTCTCCCTGGACACTTTACAAGAGCTCTCCCAGCTTTGGATTCTTCCCTTCAAACAAGAACATGTGTTGTGTAGGGCTGGGTGGAGTACTGGAAGGCAGGAATGGAGAGTTTGCCACACAGTTAAAAATGAAAGCTACTAAGAATATTTTCAGCCTTGGAAAGGAAAATGGTCCAGACACTCCAAAGAATAATGCAAAAGAGGCCCTGTCTGTATTTGACTAAGTAATAATTATGGCCAGTAAGTTCTGCCAGGGGGCCCCTTCCTTTTCTGGGCTCATTTCCTATTTTATACTTTTGTACATTCTGTTCAACATCACTCATTCTTGAGCGGAGCTATCAGCAAATATTTGGTATTTTGAATTTCATCTTCTGCACTCACAAATAGAGTTTGTGTTTAGATGATGAGAGGACATAGAGCAGATTCATTGGTACTACTAGATGGTGGCAAAATTTGCAACACTACTGGCTGAAACTGGTCATGGATAGTGGGATGGTAACCCTGCCATGCAGGAAAGGGGCACTGGATGTCACCCACTGGGGCAGGCCCTGCCAGTCACTGTGAAGCACCATGGACATTGACCCCACCACAGGAGACAAATTTTGATATTTCTCATTTTCATACATGAAGAAATCAAGGCCAGATTCATTAAAAATAAATCTGTCCCCAAATCGCAGAGCTATTAAGTGGTAGAGGTGGATTTAAGCCAGGTCTGATTATTTCGAAGCCCATTCTCTTTCCATAAAGCTCTTCTGAAAATTCTCCCTGGATTTCTTTCCTGCTCAGCACACATTTCTACCCTTAATTTGTTTCCTTAAGACTGCGATAATCCCACCCGCTTCTTCCGGCCTCTCTCTGTGTAGCTCATTGATCTAGTCTGGTTTGAATGGGCAGCTGTCCTTAATGCCAAGGGCTCCAGAAGTACTGAATGTGTTTGAACTTGAGCAGCAAAGGGAAATATCTTACCTTGTATTTATTTCACTGTGGGGACCAAAGCTCAGACAAGACTTAGAAGGGACCCTGGCACAAGCACTTGCTCAGAAAGGCCACCATGCCCCCACAGAGGGCACACCAGGCTTCAGTTCTGGCCGATGCCTTTGTCCTGTTTCTCTAATGCTGATGGTAAAGGGGATGTCAATTCCCTTGCAAAGGACCAGGTAGAAGCTATCTAATCTTTAAACAAAAGCCCAAATACAAGGTTGCCTCAGTGATATTTAAACGTTATAGATACAAAAACATCCCTGCTGTGGAAATTCCACAGGAAACCTCTCTTTGCCATTGCAAAACTGAAACTTACTACCCCATGAGCCCCTTTTCCTCCACTGGAACAATTGGTTATACTGGATTTTGCTCTGGTTCTTGTTTCTGTTGGGTCTTGTTTTTAACATCACCAGGGATGGTTGTTTTTATTTCTTGAACCACACATCCAAACCGCAAGCTCCTCGTCCCTCTTGCCGCAGGCTGCATCTCAAGGCTCCATTCTTGTCCCAGATTTCGTGTCCAGGGACTCTCATTTCAATGCTTATTTTTCACAAGGGGCTTTGGGATGGCTGCTCACCCTGCTTCAAGCCACAGTATAGTCCCCTTTCTCCTGGACCAGCTTTAAAATACAGCACAAAGGCCATCCTTGAGGACACAGTGCACAGAGGTTCCTCCACGTCTGCATTCAATACACATGCCTTGAGCAACCTTGAAGGGACAGGCCCATTGCTGGGCTCAGGGCTGCAAGACCCAGAAGACACATGGGCTTTTCCTGGAATGCACTGCCAGGTGGGGAGACAGACATTGCCCTGATAGTCACACAAACATTAAAATGCAACCTGGTATCTTGACTTCAGAGGAGAATGCCAGAGAGTGGGTATAGAACCATGAGAGGCTGAGCCCTCTCTGTGGAGGCTACAAGTGGGCAAGGGAGGATGAGGGGGCACCTGTGTATGCAGGCAGAGGGCACAGCCCACACAGAGGCTCTGAGGCCCAAGGAGCCTGGCGAGCCTGGCACCTAAGCCACAGCAGCTTGGTTAATAAATGGTCCTTTCAGATTCAGTCATCATTAGACCAGGAAGAAGGGTTTCCATCTTGAAGGCATTTCTAACCTGCCATTTTCCAGACTAGGAAACTCAGGGCCCAGACAGAAGGGTGTGTCCACACTCAGTCACTTCACCTCAGTACAGTTGGCCTTAGAGTCCAGGCAGATTTGCCAGAAAGCCAAGCAGATCCAGTGCTGTTGGGCCTTCCCCAGCAGAACCCCCTCCAAGTCCTGTGCCTCATTTTGCATTTGGAGTTTCAAATCTGGAGGACCTCCAAGTCTGCACAAGCTTCATGCCTCACCAAATCCATCCCCACCCCTTATTAGAACTCAGGACTTCTGGCTTCAGACCCAATATAATACTGGGGTGTGTCTGGACAGTACAAGGGAAGGACCCCTTTCTGAATCCAAAGAAGCAACATGTGAGGGAGAATCCCTGGGGCTCAGGCAAGGCTTGATATAAGATGGGCCAGAGGCCTCAACAAGTCACTTCTCTGTGGCCAGACCCTGCTGCTTCCTAGGAGCCCTGACCTTCCTCCAAGGGTCGCAAGAACACCAAAGGTCACGTTTGGTTTCCATCTCTCACACAGGAACTCTTACTTTTACGTAGTTTATTGTCAGTGACTTGCTTTCCTCAAATGAGCAGCACAGTTGAGCGTACTGTTCCACTGTGATGACTTCCTCCTGATTCATTTATCAGTTGATGACCAAACCCTGTACTGGAAGCCCTGTTTACCCTTCTTACTCATCCTTGAGCTCAGCCTCCTTTGACTCAGTCTGTCCATGAGATTTAAGAGTTGGAGGCTATAGGGTACGTGCATTGTAGGAGGTAGGGAGGGGGTGCTCAGCAGGGTGTCTGGATCCTGGAAAGTGGCCTGCATGGGCTACCCAGACTGCACAACTGAGTGCTGGGATTTCTCCAGAAATTCCTGGGGTGAGGGAACAGAAATGGCTCCTCCCATGATTGTGGGTGTGCTTTCTAGACCATGAGCCCCTTTTGAGGACAAGGGTTGCCTTTCTCATAGATGCTTGGCTCATGTACATGCTCACTAAATAGCTACCAAATGAATGAATAAAGTCGTCACCAGATCTGGGAGTTTGGCTGCCAGGTGGAGTGACAGCAGCCACAGCAGTTATGGCTGCTGCTGCTTTGCAAGCCATATCATTTCCCCAAAATGTACCCGTTTCACCCTGCGTATAATGCTTGTGAACTATGGCGAGCCAATAAGTATGCAAAGCAGATACCGCTAGCATCAGAAAGGAAATTCACGTCTTATCACCACATCTCCAGAGTAAGTTGTGCTCACATGAACCAAATAGCATTCTTTCCCTTTCCAAAATTTACTAAAATTATTTTCAATATACACATAATAAAAGGTCCTTCGTTTTTTCTTCCAACACGTCCACCCCCAACAAAAGTCACTATTAATGAGATAGCCCACATAGGGTCCCACACTCTGTAAGGAAGAAGTGTTCTGCAGCCTCTAGGTTAATAGCCGCTTGATCTGGAGGGTCCTCAGAACTCATCTGTCCTCACCCCCTGACACTCACATGTCACAGATCTGAGACACACAAGCCCAGATTGGGCAGCTGGGGCCACAGTAACAAGAAGGGATGTTTGCTAGCATTCTGTCACCCGTGGGATGGTGCCTCACTCTTTTATCTCATCTCAGAGGGGCCCCAGAACAGAGATGGGGCTTGTTGTAAAGACGGAGAGATGGAGGCCTGGGACAGACCCTGAAGCCAGCTCTGACTTCAGCTCACAGGCTCTGGATCCCCATTTCTCAGATGAGAACACTAGGGCCGAGGCAGGCCTGAGAACAGGGGCGTGTGGCTGGCCTCAGGGGTCCTCGAGCACTGCACCACCCTCTACAGGGGGCCCTGGGCACTTGGGTGCAGGAGGAGGTGTCTCCAGGGAAACCCGCAGCAGCTGGGCAGGTCCCCACTGACTGCCGGGGCTGCGCTTCCTTCCTGTGAATCAAAACGCCCCTCTGCTTCATTTCCTAGGACTGGAGAGTGACTTCCTCGCGGTGCTGAGTGACTACCCATCTCCTGACATCAGCCCCCCAATATTCCGCCGTGGGGAGAAACTGCGAGTGATTTCTGAGTGAGTTAGCTTTTCAAAACTTTTATAATCCTCAAAACAGGAGAACCTCAGTTTGGAGGGGAAGCACTAGATTTTTAGCTATAGTCGTCCAGTTCCACATGGGCCCTGATCCTACTGTGGGGTGAGAAGTCTGGCCCACACTGCAACCCTACCCCTTATGTTGCTGGGCTCTGAAACCTTCAATGGCTCCCCATGGACTGCTGGCTAAAATCTAATTGTTTATAACTAGGCTTTGAGACTTTTATGATCCCAATTCTGCTTCTCGTATTGGCTTCATCCCCCGCCACATGTGCAGTTACCCTGTGCCAGCACAAGCTGGGCAGAGAGACCCAGGGTCTGAAAACACTTTGATGACAGACAGCATTGCCTCCTATTCCTGTTGTCTCTTCAGTGTGATGCCAAACAGTCTGTAGATCCATTTTCTTTGGATCCTCATTGATATAGACACACAGAATATCTTTGGTTATATTTCAGGGTACAAATCAAACCAGTAAGCACTGGTTTTTAAAAGCCTCCAACTATAGCATAGCAGTTGAGAACATCAGCTGCTGATCCCTGAAGGTGGCTTTTTCTATTAAGTGGGAATGCTTCCAAGCTAGCTTCTAGCTTGAATGGGGGTGTCTGTTGCATGTGTGTGCGTGTGCACACACACACATGCATGAATGCATGCCTGCACCCACTAAGCACTCAATTCCCAAATTGAGAAATTCTGGTCCATCTGGGCAATGGCAGATCTTAGAAGAGAACTGTCCCCAGCTGCCATGGGGTAATTCTGCTGATCCTGTTCACTTGTCCATTTACCCATCCTGATCTTGTCTTTCTGTTCTGACAGTGAAGGAGGCTGGTGGAAAGCCATTTCTCTTAGCACTGGTCGGGAGAGTTATATCCCGGGAATCTGTGTGGCCAGAGTTTACCACGGGTGAGTACATTCGTCATCATTAAACATCATGCTGCCTATGTGGGTGGCTCAGGAGATGGCAGGCAGGGATTCCAGCATGGTGCAGTGGCAAGGAAGACACTGGGTCAAGAAGGGCACCCACCCCCCATCTCTGCCCCTCGGGAATGATGCAGATTGGGACCTATCCCTTCCACCTGGGGACTTAGGTTCCCTGGAGTGAAATGAGGGAGCTGGGCTCTTCAGCTGGAATGAGGTGCTGCTGCTGCTCAGCACCGACACTCCGAGTGCCCTACCACCGGAGGCAGGGAGGTGGATCAGCTCAAGCCATCTGGGTTCAAGTCCTGCCTCTGTCACTTTCTGCCCAGGTGAGGGAGCAGAGGCTGCTTAGGTTTCTGAAATCATTAGTTGTCGAAAAGAAAGCACAACACAGAATGATGGTAATAGTGACATGTAATACCATGACCCAAGTGCAGGGCTGTTGGGAAAACGAGAAGGCTAATGTTCAAGTAGTTCCTGCAGCAATGCCAGACTTCACAGCGAGACTCTGCAAAGAGCCACATTCTCGTCAACTCCACATCCAAAGGCACAGAGTGCTCCCTGCCCGACATGCCCACACACCCACAGAGGAGCAGACGAGCCAAACAGAAGAGGATCATGGAGACCTCGGACGTGGCAGAGGGAAGCGGTATTTCCTCCTGTAGTGGTGCAGGGATGGCTGGGGCAGCCCCTGGTGGCTCTACAGCATAGCACACCTGGACTCACAACCTGGCTCCCTCCTTCTAGGGAAAGGGCCTTGGGAGTTACCTAACCTCATCCAGCCACTGTCTTCTCACCTCTCAAATTAGCAAGATCAGACCTCAGCCAAGAAGTGCTCAGCGTAGAGAAAACAGAAAGGAAGGAAGGAAAGACCACTGTCCAAATATGAAATGGCTTCTTGTCCAGAGCCACACGCCCTTCTGGTGAGGCAGAGATGACCACACAAATACTCGGAAGACTGGAATTGAGTACATTGATTTCAGTATTGATGATCTTAATCACGAATACAGAAAACACTTCCATATTGAGGCTGATGAAACTGAACACAAGAGTCACTTTCTGAAAGAAACCCAAGTCACACTTCCACATCAGGGGCTGGTCTTTGATCCATTCATTCCTTAGCAAATGCACCTTGACACTTCATGTTGAAGATGTGGGACTGAAGCTGGCAGGGGCCGGGGTGGTGGGAACCCAGACAAACAACCTACAGGACCCTACAGGACAACTGATCTAGTTGATGCATTGACATTTCTTAAAATACAGAATAGATAAAAGGGCAGTGAAGTATAGAGGCTGTGGAATTGCATGTCCCAGAAAAATGTATTCTAATTTTACTCTCTCAATCACTGATATGGTAACGTGCACAAGTTACTTAATCATTCTGACTTTTAGCATCCTCATTTGTGAGCAGGATAATGTCCCTGTTTCAGGGAGTTGAGGTGAGGATTAGGGTTAAAGTGCTTAACATAGTGTAACATACAAATACAGTTAGTATTCCTATATGGCTGCTGTTCCTCATCTGTTGTCCTCCCCTTTCTAAGTAGACTTTTGTGTAAGAACTTGAATAAATGAGTATTTGTTGCATACACTGAAATAATTAGTACTTTATGCACTGTGCAGAACTAAGGGAATAGTTGAAATATTTGGCCAAATACAGCATGATCATGATCCCAGCAGCAAAAGTGACCACAGTGACGAGCACATACATGAACAAACAGAACCTATGGGTCTTCCCACCTGGCCCTCAGGGCACTCAGACGACAGACAGGCTTTGCTGACCTGGATCTGCTCCTGTGCCCTGGAGAACGTTAAAGCCTTCCGAGACAGTAGCATACCAACGCCTGCTACAGCACACACCGATCTGGACCTGAGAGATGGGAGTTGTGTCTGCATGTGCCCCAGCCACATGCGACTGAGGCACTTCCTGCCCAGCTGAGGTCTGGCAGAACCTGGTCTGCAAAGAGCCCGTTCACCTGGAACACAGATTCCTTTGTGCCCAGAGAAGCTTCCCAGGAGGACTCAAGAGCATCAGGTCTCCTGTGGGTGCGAAACCCCCACTCCAAAAGTGAGCTACCAGAGTGCCACCACCGTGTCTTACTGTTTGGTGAAAAAAGCAAAGAACACAGGAAGCCCCTGGCGCGATGACGAGTGTCTGAACGCATGAGAATGGAGGGTGCTGGAGATCAGATGGAGGCACAGCAGGGCTTGTTTGTGGGGTCTCCACATGCCACCTCTCGTCTCTTCCTTCTTACTCACAAGCATATGCCAAGCCCAACCTCCTGGATGCCACCGTGAAACCCACAAGACAAGGGCACAGGGAGCGTGGCTATCGCGGAGTGCAAGGTGGTATGTGGAAGGCCGACTGCCACAGCCACAGAGGACCCTGTATAACGGCATGTGCTACACATTACATATGGTGCATATTCCAGCAAGCATTGGAGGGACAGGCTGAGAGGTCCCATGCTTCCTGGATCATTGTCCAGGCTAACACCTGGCCAGCGATTGGCACTTGGGAACTTTATATGAAATCTAGAACATAGAAGTGCATGAATGAAGGAAAGAATAATGAGTGAATGAATAGCTGATGTCCCTCCTCTTCGACACCCCATCATCCTCACAGTACCTAGACTTCAACTTCACATTTGGTCTTAGCTGTCTCTAGGTTCTATGGGCAGGGCACATGCAGGTTACTCACAGCTGTCCTCCTGTGTCTCAGGTGGCTGTTCGAAGGGCTGGGCAGGGAGAAGGCGGAGGAGCTGCTGCAGCTGCCAGACACAAAGGTCGGCTCCTTCATGATCCGAGAGAGCGAGACCAAGAAAGGTGAGCAGCCCGTCTCTCCGTGCCCGGCTCAGACAGGCAGGCCCTTACTCCTGGCTGCCCCTCCTGCCTACGTGTGCACATGGGTGTAGGTGGTTAGGTGGTTAGCTCCTTGCAGCCACGTCCACCCGCCCACAGCAAGGCCAGCATGATAGCTAGGGGCCCAGAAACAGGGAGCAGGTGACTGGGTACTACCATGGCCCTGGGTACTACCATGGCCCAGGCATGGGCAGCATGCTGAGCACACAGAAGTGGACAATGGCATGGCCCAGCCTGTAGACATCAGCCCTGAGGCTTGCACGGGTTTACCTCTCTGAACTCAGATTTCTCATCTGTGAGGTGGAGAGAACCTCCCCTTGTAAGGTGGTGAGATTCAAATGTAATAATTCTTGTAGTGTCATTGCTGTGTGAAAGGCCTTGAGATCAGTGTTCTCTGGGCCTCTCAGAGGGGACAAGCCCATGTGCCTGTTTGCCTGTTCACCAGACTTTTATCATCATAATTTCCTGCATCAACTGAGCAGACAGCAGGGCGCTTCTGTGGTTCAGAGCAGGAGTTCCAAGTTCTAGTTTCATACATGAATTACTCTCTCTCTCTCTTAGCCTCAGGTCAGGCATTAAGGACAGCACTGTTCTTGGATATAGTAACAGCTTCATGTCACAGGAACAAAACCCTGGATGGATAGGGCTCCCCCACTGGTGATCGTAATAGCAACTATTCGAATAGCGGAGATCTGGCAAGTCCTTAGCCTGCTTCTTATTCACTTCCTGTCAAGGAAGAAAAGACGCAGTATCTAAGTATTTACCAGGCACCCACCAAGGGCCGGGACCACCTGGCACTGGAGTCTTCACCAAGATGAGCACAGCCTGGCTTGGGGGAAACACAGATGGAACATAGGGGATTCTAACGTCCCACAACAACTCTTGTCAGATACTTGAAGGAACCAGAGGACAACAAAGTCAAGCAGAGGCCAAACATGGCATATGTGTTGGGCCCCCAAGGAAGGATACCCAGCTCAGAGCCCTGCGGCATGGCCAGGGGAGGGAGCCCCCACTGGGCGCCACAGCACATCTGCAGTTATCCAGGTCCCCAGCAGATCTGCAGTGGGGCAGGGTGGGGCTAGGGTGGCAGACTCTGCCCACTGGGGGTGCAAAGTTCTGATGATTTTTCAGGCACTGCCCTGGACTGGCTTACTGTATTTCCAGTTCCAGTTGAAATAACAAGAAGTATCACAGTGGGTGACTCAAAGGGCAGGGTTGACAAGTAACTATGTGCCCCAGGGTGGACCAGGATCTTGCTGAAAGCAAAGCTTACACCCCAGAGCGGCCAATCCCCGGCTGGGTGCCTCTGAACGCTCACTCAGGATGTCTGAGCCTCTATTTCTCCATCTAGAAAATATTTGGGGACAGTACCTCACATGCCCTTTCTGAGAGTCAAGGAGATGTTGCCTGGAAGTAGCTTAGTCCCCCACCCAGGACACAGACTCGATAAATGCCCATTCCTTGCCCCTCTTGCCACCTCTTGAGCACTTTCCACTCCTAGAACCCCAGGAGATGGAGCAGGGGGATCCTTAAACATCAACCAAGTCCAATTCCCAATGCTCCATTTGGGGGGCTGAGGCTAAGAGGCTGCTGGTACGTGCCTGAGCTTCTCCTCTTACCAGCTTGTGTTGGTCACCACTCTGTGACGCTGAAGGAGAAATGTCATCTTTCACATGTTTCTTAGAGACACTCGCAGACACCCAGGCACTGCCACTTGCTCTAATCCCTGAGAAAGTCGAGCTTAAATCAGAGGGGGGTAGGGATGAGGAAAGGGGACCTGGCTGTAAGCACCCCCCTGTCCGTGGGACAGGGGCCGAGGGAGGAAAGCAGTGGCACAAACACCTCAGTGCACACTAGGAAGCAGTCAGGGTCTGCACGGCCTGGATCTATAGGTGGCAACCGAACTCTAAGCAGTCAAGGTGGCCTCAGGAGTCACATGGATAAGATAGCACCACAACGTTCACCTCAAAGAACAGGAGGACTAGGCCTCTGTGCTTGGAAACCCAGGCTGACAGTAAGAACCATTCTTGAGTGCATTAGGGGGCTGCTAAAATAACAGCTGCCCTGGGTTCTAAACTGGGAACCACATCTGAACTGAGGGGTCCAAGGCAGGTGGGGCTGTTGGTCCTGACAGGGTGCCACCTCCCAGTGTCACTGCAGTAGACCAAGAGTGAGCAGCTATGTGCCTCTGGGGAGATGAGCCAGTCAGCTGGCTGCCCTTGGGAGGGAACACGTAGAGCCACTAACCTGTCCTTCTCCTCCTGTAGGTTTTTACTCCCTGTCGGTGAGACACAGGCAGGTGAAGCACTATCGCATCTTCCGCTTGCCAAACAACTGGTACTACATCTCCCCAAGGCTCACCTTCCAGTGCCTGGAGGACCTGGTCAACCACTACTCAGGTAAGAAACAGTTGGGACTGGAGGAGGAGGCCCCTCTGCACTGCCTGCTGCAGTCTCACAGCCTCGGGTGGGCCTAGCTCCCCAATAGAAGCCAGGGATTTTTTTCTTGCTTTCTGCCCATTCTGACTTCTTACTATGTTAACTCAGAGTACAAGAGCCTCTGAGCCTTGTCCTAGTAGGTACAATGCACCTCACCTCAAATCCACCCTCTCTCCACCTATAAACCCCACAATCCAGCTTGCTCCTGTATCCCAGACACAGACAGCTGGCAGCTCTTTAAGTGGCCCTGCATTTTCCGGGACTCTGTTCTGAAGTCCCACTCATTGCCCCTTCTCTGCTTGTCAGAACCCTCTTCAGCCTCCAAGGCCAACATGGGCCACCTCTGGGATGAAGCCTAGCAGTGAGACTTTGTTGGCCAGTCCTCCTGTCCCAGTGTTCCAGGGTTCCTTTCCCTTGCGCTCTGATAACTGTGCAGTGTGGCCTAGGTGATTGCATGCTGGTCTGTGTTTCCTAAAGAGATCCTAAGGATGAGGCATCTATTTTATTAACTTGCTTATTGCTTGCTAGACGGGGAGACTAAGACAGGGAGCATCTTCCAAGATGGTAGAAGCATGGCTAGTTCTGATAGAGTGATGGGTCAGGGTAGAGTCAGAAGACAGAAAGTGGGATTCAGCTGTGCAGGTCCTGAATGCCAGCTCAGGAGTTGGAATTTGCCCCCTGGACGAAGGAACAATTGTAAACAGTTGCTGAGTTTCCAACAGCTGGTTCTGGCACCTCAGTGATTATTTCCAGCTCTGCTTGCTCACTGGGAGCTGGGCCACCTTGGACTGCATATTTGCCTCTTTTTGCCCCACTTTCTTCCCACACAATGCAGACACCAGTTGTCCCAACTCTCTGGAGGTGCTAAGGAGAGGACATGGCCATGACCTTGAGGACTTACTGAGTGGTACCCACTTTTTCTCGAGTGGGGCTGCTCCTCCCCCCTCTCTTGCTCTGTCCTACTGGGGGGAGCCAGGGAAGAAGCCCTTCTCACTTTGTTAGCGGCTTCCCCTAGGGTTCAGGTGCCTGACCTTTCACCTTGAGGAACCTTGCCAGCACTCTTTAGGAGTCAGGGTATTGAATCAGAAGAGCAAAGGCCTTTTCAAGGAGAAAGGAACTCATGCAGCCTTTGGGTGACATCCTTGGCCTATAAAGTGGCGGGTGATATGGAAGCAGTGGCTGCTGGGAGACGCAGGCCCACCCTGGGGCCCAGGCTGGGGGGGCTAGAGCAAGTGCCCCACCTCCTCTGCTTCCCATTCCTGGAAGGTGGTGACAGTGGCCCCAGCAGGGGACTGAATGATTATCAAGCATAATCTTTCTTGTGCCATGTGCAGCCCAGCCTGGCGCCTGTGGCAGATGCAAAATAAATGATTACAAATATGGCCTCTGTGATACCCGAAAACCTCGCAGTTAGTTCAAAATGAAAGAGGAAGGGCGTCCTGGAAACAGCCGATTGTGCTGGGTAGGAGTGAAGGTTGGTTGTGGTATTTGGCTTTTAATAACAATCATCAGAGGGGTGTGCAGACCATAAATTTTGCATAGACAAAAGCAAACATGAAATGAATGCTGCCCCAACAAAGCTCTCACAGACCAGGAGGCCAAGAGACTGTGGCTAGGAACACCACGCCCGCTCGGGCTGCTGCACCACAGGCAGGGCTGTAAAGAGCAAGTGCCTTCCAGAGAGACGACCCTGGCCCTAGCATCGGTTGACAGGTGGCAGCCACAGGTTCACCTCTGCAACTAACTGAAATGGTCTGAAAATACAAGATGTTTTCTGTGCTCTTCTAAGACATGGCCAGGGACATCAGGAGCAGGGGACCCTAAAAGCAGGGTCTCCGGAGCCCGAGGAGTGAGAGGATGGAGCACTCCAGTGAGCTGTGTGGAGGGGAGTGAACCAGACCAGTGTCACCTCTGGGAGGCCGAGGAAGATCTGTCTTCTCCTCCTAAGGGACACTGACCTGCTTTGGAATGAGAACCTGGTCCCAAATCCATGAGACAGGGTTTGGCCACATTCTGTGTCCATGGCCTCCTCAGCTTCTTCATCTCTAGAATGGGCCTAAGATACTGAATGAACACAGAGAGGGGCCTTGGTGAGATGAAGAGGCGGCACCAGCTCAGCAGGGCTCCTGTGTCCTTCCTGTGTCACTGCCTCTCCTCCTCCACGTCTGTTAGTTACCTAAGTGTGGCTAAGGGGGGCACCGCAGGGCTGCCCTGCCTGCTGGGCTCTGGATCTGGCTTTGTCTTCCTCTTTCATGAGCTGGGGGGGTCACTTAGGTCTCTACCCCCTAATTGTTTTAGATGCACAGTCAACCAGGCTTCGCACTGACCCCACAGTCCACCTCACATCCCTGCACGCACCCTCGTAGGTGACGTCTGAGGTCAGTGTAGTCACAGGGGAGGCCAGGAGCAGGCACAGGGACACGGCCAGGGACTGCTGAGGTGCTGTCCCTCCAGCTTCCACTGGTTTCTGGGCAGGCCCCCCTGTGAGCCCCTCAGGTGGGGGCAGGGCTCTCGGAGCCGTGGCCTGCTTCCTGCCCTCTGACCATGGGCCAGCTGAGGGCCGCAGACACAGCAGTGCCTCACATTCGGGGTCAGGCATCTCCCTAGGAGAAGGAAAGCACTAGAATCCTCAGCCTGAATAAGGCTGCTCAGAACCTCTGTCTCTGTCTCTGATGATGGGCTAGGGGAGGCTTCTGGAACACATGGAGCCTGCACCTTAATGCACCTGGAGAGATGGGGCCCCCGGGGCTTAGACATTTCATACCAGCCAAAGGGGCTTGCTTAAATTTCTTTCCCTTTCTGCATGAGACTCCAGGGCTAGAAGAGGGATCTTTCCGAACCTTTCATCGTCTGCTCTACCTTTCCCTGTCTTCTCCCTGCCTCAGTGTCTTCCATGCTCTGGGGCTGTCGTCTCTCCTGCGCCCCCTCCTCCTCCCTCCTCCTCCCTCCTTCCCCCTCCTTCCCCCTCCTCCTCCCTCCTCCTCCCTCCTCCTCCCCCTCCTTCTCCCTCCCCCCCTCCTCCCTCCCCCCTTGTTTTCTCTACCCTCCTTCCTGCCTTGGAGATGTACTTGATACACCTGAGCACCACCAAAGCCTCCTGTATACTTTGGGGACTCAGCAGCTTCTTGTTCTTGTGCACAGGAGAATTCTGCTGCCAGGTGCAGCCCTGGCCCTCCTTGGGTGCCCTGCCAGCTGTCCTCACTTGTCCTCATTGTTCTCCTTGTGTAGTCAAGGAAACTGGGGCTCAGAGAGGTCAATTTACCATCAGAGTGAAGCTGACTCTCAGGGACAGCTGAGGTGCTCTCTCTCCAGCTACCACTGGTTTCCGGGTCCCCAGCTCCTCCGGCTGCCTGGGCCTAGCTAAGTGTGCCGCACATTCAGGGCACCTTAGCAGCCCTCCAGTGACTGGGTGTGTGACTCTCAGCCTGGCCACTACCTTCCACACCCCTTTCAAGTCCCTGCCTTTATTTCCCATGCCAAGGTCCCGGAGCTGGACCAGATGGTGCTCAGGCCTGCACTCCACCCTGGCCACGGCTTCCCTGGGCCTGACCCTGTCTGCTTCCCCCTGCAGAGGTGGCTGATGGCCTGTGCTGTGTGCTCACCACGCCCTGCCTGACGCAGAGCACGCCCGCCCCAGCAGCCAGGGCCTCCAGCTCCCCCGTCACCCTGCGCCAGAAGACCTTCGACTGGAAGAGAGCCTCCAGGTGTGTGGGTGTCCCCTGAGCGTGTGAGCCCGACATGGCGTGGAGAGCCGTGGCCTGGTGTCATTGGCCACTCCCACCACAGCCCTCAGTCCCCTTGTCCTTAGGAGTCCCTGCTGAAAGCTAGAAGGCATTGTTCAGCAGGGACGCCGCCTTGCTTTCCCGATTGCACAGGCCCTAGACTAACGCAGGAGCCAACCTGTGTCATTTAGTAGTACTTAAGACTCACTCATGGAACTTAAACATGACAAAACTGAGGTGACTCAGTTTTGCTAAGAGAAAAACATCTTCCACTGATTTAGTCTGTTTTTTTTTCCATTGCCAGCCATTAAATTTTGAGGTGAATATCCATCATTTGTGATTGGTGGATTATCTTATAAACTGAACAGAAATCAAAATTCATCCCATGGGTAAGTTCAAAGAAAATCAGAGATCAGAATTGGCTAGGAGATGAATGAAACTGCTCTTTCTCAAAGAAAAATTCACTTAGATTTACAGTTGGAAGATACAGGCACTGGAGAAAACAGTAATTCAGAGAGGCTGAGTGGTTTGTCTAAGATCACACAGCCAAGAAATGTAAGAATCAGAATTAGAACAAGAAGCTAAAAGGATATTAACTAGGCTCTCTTTTTTTCTTCCTTTTCCTGTTCTTTGTCCCTTGTCCCCTCTCTGTCAATATCCTACTCTTTTCTCCCGTTCTCTGCCACCTGTTCTGACTCACAGACTGCAGGAGGACCCTGAGGGAGCAGGGAACCCACTTGGGGTGGATGAGTCCCTTTTCAGCTATGGCCTTCGGGAAAGCATCGCGTCCTACTTGTCCCTGACTGGGGATGACAGCAGCCCCTTTGATCGGAAGAAGAAAAGCGTCTCGCTGATGTACAGTGGAAGCAAGAGGAAGAGCTCGCTGCTCTCATCGCCACCGTACTTTGAAGACTAGCGGCACAGCAGATGCCCGGGCTCGCACCCGAGGCCACAGAGGTTCTGACTGTCACCTGGGATCTTGCAAAAGGCAGGATTCTCTAGCCCCTGGACAACCCAATTCCAGCCAGGAGAAGCCATCATGAGACCCAAACTCTCACCTTCTCTATCCACATCATGACCAAAGGGTCCCCTCCTCCGTGTCTGACCAGGGCTGTGACACAGGACATGTCAAGTCTCAATGATGGGACAAGGTCTCAAAGAGCCCAGCAGACAAGGATGTGCACGTGACGCACGGGAAGGATGAGGAATTCTTCCAGAAACTGCGCCGGAAGCGTTCCTCAGTCGACTGGCAGATGGAGGTGGAAGGTGGAGGAGGACCGCAGCCTGCGGAGGGGGGCAGCAGGTGGGAGCCGCACTGCCATCCATGGAGACCTACGGAGTGACACCTCCTCCCTTGTAAGAGACCCGCTGACACTAAACCCCAGCCGACGGACTTGCTAGCTCCTCCATACCAGGAGGAGACGTTGGCGTTCTCCTGCACCAAAGCCATGTGGCAGGGGACATGGGGCAAGGGTGGCGGCTGGTGGGGAAGGAAGGTGGCCTGGGACTCACCACCTTCTAGGGGCCCCAGCCAGGGTCTGCAGCACAGAAAGAGCTTCTCTGGCTCCTGGGGTCCTTGCCAGAGTTAAGGAACCAATGATTCCTTCACAACTGTGTAAAAAGGTGCTGTGTTAAGTCCTGTGTGAGGTGGGGGACAAACAGGGAAACAAGGGTGACTCAGCCCAGCCCCCAGCGAGGCGTCACAGTGAGGCAGAGAGAGAGTGGAAAAGCATGGAATGTAAAAGCAGCCTCGCGTGGAGAGATGGACTGCCTGCCTGGGATGGGCTGGGGCAGGGGACGGGGCGCCGTGTCCAGGGATCTGCATGGAGCTTAGGGCTGCTGGACGTGGCAGGAAGAAAGGCCGGATGTTCTTAAAAGAAGGAAAGTGATCACTTCTAAGGAGTTGACTCACACCACATTTTATCCTAGGAAGGGTCTGGTATCCACATGAGTGCAAATACCGAGCTCCAGGAAGAGGGGAGGCCCTGAGTGGCTTGATTTTGCCATATACAGCTGAAGGAGACGGGTGAAAACACAGGCGGAGAAGGAGCGATGAACCAGACAGTCGGATCCTGCCAGGAAGGCAGGCGGCTGCAGACGGCTCATGACTCACTCTTCCCCTTCCAGGGACTCTGGGGAGGGGGCACGTGCACATGGCCCTTCACGTCTGCTCACATGCGCGTCCATGGCCATGAGTTCGTGCTGCTGGTGGTACGTGCATTTGTGTTTACATGATTTGCTGTGTCACCAGATTCCAGGGTATTCATACAAGGAGGCATTTGTGGCTTCCTTGACAATCTCCCACGGCTGATCCAAAGCCACCAGCCAGCATGTGAGAAAGGATCGTGACACCTGTGACACCCGGGACAGCGACTTCCACCTGGAGGCCTGGTGCCTCTGCGCTCCAGATGTCTGTACAGCATCTTCTATGTCATTTTCTGTTGTGACCGATGTGACTGGAGCATTGGGGAGCCCCAGGGGGGTTCTAAGTGGGGAGCATTACACTTTGTTCAATCATGTATTTATTCCTGATTAAAGTAACCTAATAAATATTTAAGCCTTGAATGTGGGAGCTTCCAGGTGGCGGTGAGTGGAAAGTTCTCTCAGGGGCTCTGCAGCTTCCTGAGGACAGCCCCAGCCAGACTCCCTGGAGCCGTGGAGTCTCTTCACCCTGGAAGGTGGGCGTGGGGTGAGGGAGGCAAAATCATCACCACCATCATGAGAACCGTACATCACTGGTGGTGGGTGAGCTATTTGGTCTTCTGAGAATTTCTAGAAATGATTCCTGGGCACCTACTAAATAAATACTGCTCCAGGTGCTCGGGCTGCATCAGGGAAAACCAGTGGGGCCTCTGATGTCATGGAACTTGATGTCACACATAACAGGAGGCTTTCTGATGATGAGGAGGGACATGCAGAAAACAGCAGAGCCCAGTGGATGGGGTCTCTTTAGATGGATGCTGAGGGAGGTCAGCAGTGGACACAGCCATTGAGCTGAGGCCTGGAAGACGAGCAGCTAATGGCCATGCACAGATCTAGGGACAGGGACAGCAGGCAGCTCCTGCAGGCTGAGGGTACCAAGAGGACAGTAGGGTAGCAAGGGCTCTTGTGCTGAGATAGGGGAGTGTGGGGGGGCGCCTGCAGGCTCTTAGGCCCTCAAGGGGAAGGGAGGGGCGCAGGGCCTACTCAGAGAAACAGGAAGCCATCCAACGACCTAAGGGGGTGATAGCATCTCCATATGTTTGTGGGATCACCTGGCTGCTATGTGGAGGATGGATTTTTAAAATCCCAGCATTTACTGTCTAGTTGACACATGCTTAAAGCAAAAGATGAAGAGATTTTGGAAACAAAGGGGTGGAAAGTTTTTCATGGAGAAAATGAACGAACATGTTTCATGTTGAGGCAAATGGAATCTAAATTACACCAGGGCAAAGGCAGATGTCTCAGAAGGAGCAATCCACTGAGAAGGTGGGACGCTCGCAACCTGTGTCACTCAAAAGATAAACAGCTTCAAAATACATCAGGACACTCTTATGAGGATAGATGTATAAACCGATCATTCCATTTGGAGTCTCAGAAACTGCTAGACTGAACAAGCAGAAGTGGAGAGGTGTACAGACTTTAATAACACTGGGCCCCTTTTCTGCCAATGAACAGGAACCCATCAAGTCACGGAGGAAGCTACAGACATGGGGTGTGGAGTCCTTCCGCTGTGCTCTATGATCAGGGGCAACACAAGTGGAAACGATTTGCAAAAGGGTGGATAACAATTCTATGAATCTAAATTCTTTAAAAAAATCTTTTGGATAAGAAGAAAATAATGCAAAAAAAAATAACATATTTAGAAACAAATGACAATATTGCTACTTTGCAAAATTTCTGGGGAAGAGTTGATAAAACCATAAGGGAACTTCATTGCTTACATCTGACATTGATCAGAATGAGAAGTGATGAGGTCAGCTTCCGACTCAGGAAGTAAGAGACCATCGCTTAGTCAGAGTCAGGAGAAAGGACCATAATGATAAGAACAGATGTCAGTGATTTGGAGTCTAAAACAGAGCCATAGAGAAGATTTTGAAAGCCAAAACATTGTCTAAATAATAAGATTGATATGATAGATAAAAACACAAACCAGCATGGCCCAGAAAGACAAAGAAGAAAAAGCAAATCAGGTGCAGTTCCCTTGGTAACAGTGTCCAGGAGAGGGTGTGGCCCCCAGGACCACAGGGAGGCCTTCCTCCCTCTGCAGCTCCTCCCTGCTGCCTGGACCCCTCCCCAGAGCTCCACTCAGGTATGACGGCAGGTCTAGGTATGGCTAGGGGACGCTTCTGAGAAAGAGAAAGAAGGAAAGAAACTCCTTTGGTCTGTAAGCTGCTTTGCTATTGGGTCTCCAAGACGCAGCAGGTGGGTGGTTTGGTCCAAAGGGGACACAAGGGGGCCTGCCCTCATTTGAAGATGGAGAGGCAGCTTCAAAGAAACCCTAAAAACCACCAGGCCAGGCTTGGAAGCTGAGGAGAGAGCTCAGCCAAGTCCCAGGCCCACTCGCCTCCCCGTCCCAGGCTTTACAAACCAGAAAACACCCCAGGAGACAAAGCACGTTCACCAGGCCAGCCCGACTACCACACTCAGGACCACCTGATCACACAGACGTTTACAAAACTGTTCAAAGCCAGGGAGAAGCCTGAAGGGAACCAAACTGCTGTGTCCACGGCTGATTGTCAGCCTGATTCGTGATGCAAGGCTGAACAGCAGGGCATTGCAGGTTTTCTTTTCCCCAAATTAGCAATGGATTCCATGAAATGATACTCAGATTACCAGCAGGAGTATTAGGGGAAAAAAGATAAGGAAAGAAAACTTCAACAGACTTATTCTAAAAGGCTTCTGGGAGCACCAAATCCATGACTGGCGAGACCACTTTGATGAGCAGGGGAGAGCGCTCCCATCGTGAGATCCGCAGACAATGAGGCAAGAAGGCCGCGGCCGGCCATCAGCTCCATCTCCCCATCTGCTCAGCAGAGCTCAGCCTCGCCCTGGACCCTCCCGCGAACCAGGTTCCCTACTAAGTGCTAAGGAACTCTAAGGTTCCCAGCATCTCGCCGTAGTCAAAATCAGATATGTGAGAAAAATCATGAACACGCAGAACAAGCAGAAGTCCTAAAAGCTGCTAAATAGAAGTCTCTTCTTAAGGGGAGATTCTTTGCTTTGAGAGAGATTCTTTGTTTTGTGAACTCAAATATGTTAAACAAATGTGGAGGCCCTTTGGCTCAGCCCTGGACCACCCAAGGGATCTTCTAGCAGACGCTGGACACACTGACCACAATCAGAAGAGTGAAGCCCAGGGGAGGTTGGCCTTTCTCCACACGGTGAGAGCCCAGGAGCTGCAGGGGAGTTCCCACAGAAACAGAGGCGGAAAGTGCAGGAGGCTGCCTGGAGGCCAGGAGCTCACTCTGAGGAAGGAGGACGGCAGGGAATGAATGGTTCCTAGGTCCTAGGAGTCACTTCCTCCTTTCTCCTCCCTTAAAGCGTGCCCCGGCCTCAGGCCATGATGCATGTTTCCAGCACGCCCCTTTCTCCCTCCACCTGGCCAGGGCAGGTAGGAGGTCCTGGGCCACCTGTAGTGGTGCTCCCTGCTGCCTCCAACTACAGGTGGAGGGGAGGTTGGGTTTCTTGGGTTCCCAGGACACTTTGCGAACCTGATGCTATGACAATGTCACCAGCCCATAGGACACAGAGAGAAAGCGCCATGCTAATGTCACAGGTGAGAAATGCCAGGTGAAGAGTTCTTTCAAGGCCAGGATTTTAATGTCCACCCCTTTGATTCTTGGTTCTGGTTTCTTCCTTCACATCTTAAGACCCTGAGAGAGCTTCAATTCCCAAAGAAGTCCTTAGGAATGGGAAAACATGGGATTTGGCTTTGGTTTCTTTATTGTGTGTTCTTTGGCAGGTCACTAGATGTCTCTGAGCCTCAGAAATCTTATCTCTACATAGGAAATAAAATGAAGATCCCATGCCAATCAATGTGAGGAATCCAAGATAAGATAATGAAAGTGTTTGTGAACTCAAATATGTTAAACAAATGTGGGTCATTAATCACCGTCAAAGGAGCTTCTCCACTAATATTTTAATAGTTCTAGCCCCAAGAACTTGCAGAGAGACTTCAGATTTTACCCAAGAATAAACTGCCAACTTGCATTCATTGCCCCAACATCTGTGGTAAAGAACATATTTAAGAATTTCTAATATGTTGAAGTATTTCAGTTCTCCCAATTCCAAATAATTTCACTTGCATCCCAAGGACTTCTGGGAACAGTTGTAAAAACTGCTTCCAAGTGAGTAAAACAGACGGAAGGTTTATTTTTAAATATACTGCCATTTGTTAAAACAGATTCAGTTTTGAAATTCCCCAAACACCTAAACCCTGAAAAAGAAAAAAATCTGCCTTCTAGGCCTTTTGGAAGATATCTGGGCATCGTCTGGGTCCTAGTGAGTATCTTGTTGCTGAGTGGGCCCTGGAGGAGTCTCTTTAGGATCAACTCAAAGAGGAAGCTGAGCTTTCAACACCAGGAACTAAAAAATGCTGGTGTTCAAACCTCCTGCCATTAGGATCGAGCAACTTCAGAGAAACAAAGGAAGAAAACCAGACTCACAGGAAAGAGACCCAAAGATGGTGGAGGAGCTGGGCTAGCCTTGCAGAGAGAAGCGGGGCTAGCCTGTGGATCCCTGGCCCCCGCAGACACTCTCGGGTCACTTGGTTCACCTGCTCACCCGCTGTGCCCTGGAGCACCTGCTCACAGTAAGGTGTGCATGCAGGTGCCTGGACCCTGCAGAGAGGGGGGCACTGGCTCCTGCTCTGCCAGAGCTCAGCCTTGTGAGGAGGCCGACTGGGCACCGAGAGCAGTCAGTTACCAGTGGAAATCCTGATGACGCTGCACAGCACGAGTCATGTAAGGGGCCGGGTCTAAGGGAGAAGACTGGAAGGCTTTCCTAAGGGACAAGCAGGGAGCAAAGAGGAGTTGGGGAGAAAGTCTCTCCATCAGAGGAAGTTGCCTTCACAGGCACGTCACGGGGAGTGAATCCAGAGCCTTATAAATGCTCCTGTTGCCAAAAGAGAGAAGCCATAGCAGGTGGGGTCTCTCTGTGGGGAATGGAGACAGTGCGGACCCAGCTTCTGTTATGGCCAGTGACCTTTCTCCCCTCCTATGATCAAGGGTTTGGACCCCAGAAAGGCTGGTCAAGGCTGGGAGCAATGCTATGGTCCTAGCACTGCTAGCAGGTCAGTGAGGAATTGGGCCCATGGCTGGGTCTCGCTGTTCTCCACCTTGGCTTCAACTGAGTTCCTCTGCATGCTCCTGATGGCCTTCTCTGCCCCCAACATGGCTCCTCCCATTCGTTTTCCTGCCACTCTAAGGGCAGCTCTAAGCACCTGCTCTCACCTGCTTAGGAAGCCTTTGACAGCGGATCCACGCCCATCACAGTGCTCCACCATAGCAGAAGGTGGGAGCATCCAGGGGCCTATTAACAGTGAACGGATGGGTCAACAGAACATAGCACGTCTGCACAGTGCA